GCAGTAGCGGATGAACTATTGGATACGAAGACACTTTAGTTGGGATAATGAGGAAGAGCTGCAAAGAGAAAGGTGGTGACCCAAGTAAACAAAAAAATAGGGCAAAGGGTTAGCAAAGCGGCTTTCGCTTCTAAACCATTGGACGAGCAGATTCGGAGAAATTTAAAGGGTGTATAAAAATCGATACCATCGTCAATGCATATATTCTGTGGAATATTAAGGGAATTTTTAAAAGTTCCGTGACCTTTACACCTTCTGAGCGATGTCCCTCATAAGTTCAAAGTGACTGGAAAGGAAGAAGAAATATACATTTCAGCTTATAAAAGTCCTTTAACTTCGGTTTAGAGCAAATACATGCATGTTAAAGACGAATAGCTTGAAAAGTCAGATGATATCAGATACCACAAATGCTTAAGATGACATCTTTGACATTTAAAATTTCGATATGACAAGGCTGAGCTACAATAATAAAGCTCAGTGATGTCAAATCTCACAATATGTAAACGGCGAAACGCTTTATATTTCTACTTCGAAAGATCAATGAAGTGAAATTAGGATTCTGAAGGTTAAGTTAGTAAACACAATCATTTGTTTATATCACTGTGTGCGATTTTGAAAGTTTTGAAAGTGTCATAGTGTCAAAAAAAAAATTTATGGAATCAGTTTAAAAGAAAGCAACTTAAGAGCTCAAAAACAGGAAGTTACACAGTAAGTTAAATATAAAACACCTGGTAATCATTAAAGTTCAACTTGTAAATTTTCGACACTATGTAGAAGAGGATAAAATTTAAATTAGTTGCCGAATAAACTTCAGAATACTAAGAACGAAATAATAATTAAATATGAAAAGATAATAGGAACAAAGGAATTTCAAGCAATTAAGTTCCAAAATGAAATTTCATCACAATGGCTCTGGTAAATTCAAGGTCAACTGCGAATAAATTACAGTTACTTGTCCCGCATTTACGACAAAGCCATTTGCATTAATAATCATTTCAAAAAAGTGATCGTAGATTATGTGAAGACAATTCAGACTTTTTAGTTTTATACTTCTTCCCTTAAAGTTCCTATAATTAATTAGCAGAAGCTTAGGTAAGATGAATGAGACATTCTATTCACCTTCCCACTGCGAATGTCCTCAGGTTCACGACATTGATTAACGTTTTATGAAACGTTTTTATCAACACCACTCTCTGCTGCACTTTTCATCATGAAAATACCAGAAAAAAACCTCGGAATATTTATATCTCCCTTCACAAAATGATATAAACTAAAGTATATTTTCATCTTTCCATAATCATTGTTGTTAGGCTTAGGATTGAGTGGGCATTCGGAATAGAGTCAAAGCACAATAGATATGTACTTCACAGTAATTCACAAAACCATTCTACAAAATGACTACTTTTGACCTTTTTATGGTATGCATGAAAAGATCAACAAAGTGTGGGCATTAATGGACATCTTACAGGCGACGCATGTCAATAGCACTAGAATATGTCGCGACAATTATCAAATTATTACGAGTGGTTGACCTTACCCTCGAACTATCGTCCTACCAATTAAGGCAAGTGATGGAAAATAATGCAGAGATTTTGTAAAATTAATGTATATACATATTCAACTATATGAAAATATTCTCCCTTTCTCATCCATCACAAGTATCAGAAATCAACTGGAAGGAAATTTTCAGGAGGATATTTTTCAAACACTTTCCAACTGATGATCCTTCTATTTCGAACATTTGCATATAAAGTTTCAGATTTGGATGACACCAAAAACCTTCTTCCAAGGCGAAAGCAACAACGAAATGCTTCATTTTTCTCAAGTTACTATCTTTAACTATGTGTAACTGATGTGACATTTGCAAAGGACATTTGGATTTAAATCGCGACTCAGTATAAGGATTAGTCTATTTTCAGTTTTCCTCCGAAACTTTCTTTACAACTGCAAATTGAATAATAAACGGACTTGTGTGATTTCATGTGGACTTCCCAAAATCGTTTGCCGTTCTTGTTCTCTCAAAAATCGCTCGTCGTTCTCAAATTTGGTTCACTTTTCGCTTTCGGGAGATCAGGACTTTTCAATTCCACGCAGTGCTTATTACTGATAAAGCAAGATAACAGCTTTGTTAGTGAGTTTCAAGAAGTGACAAGAATTTGGTTCCTTATTTCATGACTTCATCTAGCCCGTAGACCCTTTTGATGAGTTTAAATCTATTTGGATAATTGTCAAGTTTAAGGATCCGATGAAGATGAATGTTAATGAATGATGCCTCTAATTGGTGGAGGACGGATGGGAAAGGAGAAAGGAGGAAAGATAGTTCGACTCGTCCATTAATTAACGACCACTAAGACAGGATAGCAATTAGTATACCAGGCTTATTGAATATCAAAAAGGTTAGCATGTTAAAGTATTTACAGCAAGGGATTGTTTGCTATACGCTGGATATTGAAGAAGTCCAGAATCACTTCTCAGAAAAGAAGAATCGGTTAAATGAAGGGATCGAGGAGAGGAGAAATGGGATATGTTCGTGCTGGCGCAATGAATGTCATCTTGTCATTGTATTGTTCACTGCAAGTATTATCAAAAGTTTTCTACTCACAATTCTGCGCATTTTGATGCAGAATATGGCCTATTATCGAGAAGTTACCACTTCAGAAAGGATGGGGACAATAAAAAATGACAGCAAATTTTTGTTCAATTTGTATTACTCAAATATAATTGCAGAAAGAGCCAAGCTTTGTCTCAAAAAAAGTAAAATTTTTTTCATCTGACAGATCGCAATTTAATTGTAATGATAGGAAATGTGTTATATCATATAGTTTAGCTTTAGAAAATAAAACAAATCTTTTCTGATTGTCGTAAGAATGAAATAAATAACTGGTGGAAAGAAATTTTGGTTGGAACTAAGATAGAGAAAAAGGGAAAAGAAAAGATAGTTATTGCGAAGTTGTTAGTATGCTACAAAGCCTTTGCCTGGAAAAGGAACACCGGATAAAACAAAATAAATGTCAATTTTCAGTGGTAAAAAAGGATTCCGGTTCCTGTTTCTGTGATGACGTTTATAGTTTCAAGTGTAGCTAAAAATTAAGAGACAAGTTACATTAAGTTGAAAAATTATTTCAGCAAATCAATCCAGTCTTCTGGATACGAATATGGAAATTCTGAGAGTCAGAGAGAGTCAAGGTAAGTTATTCAAAACTTCGTGCTACCTGTAGGGTAAGGTAAGACGTAATGGCGTATTTCACTACCACTACTGGTCGTTTTCACAGTGAAAAAAAAGTAGTTTAGGAACTTGAAAAAAATAGTTTAGAAGAAAGCAAAAATTTAAGCAAATATCCAGGAATGGCTTGCAGAGAGACTATAAGCCCCATTTCTAGTCTGGACTGCACGACAGTAGTGCCATAACCATGAGCCACATTATATGGATACACATGTTAAAGCCAAAGCTGTTATAGTTATTAAACAAGATGCATGGTCACCAAGGGAACATTCTGCCTTTAGATATGGGAGGCATTAACGCATTCAATCTTCGCCTCCATTAAGTGAAGATCATTTGAACAGCGGCATATTTATTGGATAAAATGCTTCTTACTCAAATAGCTTAAGATTACGCAAACTACTTATTAATGTGGATGAAAGAAAAAAGCATTTCTTTCATAATAATGCTAATTGCTACTCCTTAAAAACTGATGAAAAATTGATAAAGCCATGGCTTTGCTAGCTGGAATTAAGTATATTTCAAAAATTCCTTATTTTTTACAAATAATAATTAATTGAATTCTGAAAACAGAGGTCTGATTCTGTTTACATCCCACATAATTTTTTGAGGGAATCAATAAATGGACTTTGTAAGTTCCTGGAATCTCTGGTCAAAAGAAAATTCATATCTGAACTAGCTCAGTCCATCTCTATCGCCTAACTTAGCAGGAACCATTCAATGATTTAGGCTTGAACATCTCTTGCTTCTTATTTCATCCAACCATCAAATTTAGCAATCCGTACGGCTGCCTTTACTTAAGAGAATCCACAAAACCTTCAAGGATCTATCCGAGGATTTTATGCATATTCGTAGAATTAATGAATATGGATGGAATGATGAGGACTAAAGATGGTAAGGATGGTTATGGTGAAATGACTGCGATGCGATAGATTTTTGAATTTCAAGAATAAGAATCCATGAAGGAAGAAAAGTGGTAGTAAGAAGGACATTCTATTCTCAAGGATTTACACTTACAAAAAGTTAAGAAGAAGAGGCAGAAATCAGCAAGAAAAGCCGTCATTTATATGGAAACTATCAAAAGTTCGTGGTAATCGGATGAGGCAAAAACTGGTATTTCTACAAAGTTTTCTCTGAAAAGTAGAAAACGAGACAATAGTTTACAATCCTTCAGAAGATAAGTTATAGTTAATGACTAGTTCTTTACTTTTCTTTGGCAAATACCAATAATTATTTTCTTCAGAAAGATGAATACTCAAAATCTTTAGGATTAAGACGGGATTAGAAAAATGAGAATGAAAGATATGGAAAAAGAAGTATTGAAAGAATCATCGCGTACTTCGAAAACCATTAATCTAGTGATTATTGATTTTAATATTATCAGAGCTCAAAAACAGAGAGAATGTAGAGTGTAAATTAGAAATTAAGTATCATTCACAAGGAAATGAGTCAACAATTTGGATGAAGTGAAGAAAAGCGAAGTTTGCGAGAAACCGGATAACAAATTACTTTCCGGAGTGAAGCTGAAAAAACTTCGAAAAAGTTACGTACTTTACCAATAGTACTTTACCAATGATCATTAATACGAGCAGGTTGATCGCAAAGTCAAAAATTAAATCTGGAAAGAGATGAAAATTCATCATCATGGTTCAAACTCAACTGCAACTTTTGAAATTTCATAACAGCCGAAATTTTATCAATGAAAAGTTTCATAACACTTTGGAATTTAAATTGAAGCATGATATTCGCTGATTGCTTGGCTAACTTTAAAGAAAACAACCTTTTTAACTCGAAGAACTCCAACGCTTGTACTACTTGAGCCAGTTTCCGTTGTCATATAAAAATACTGATGTTCATCCACTAGCTCATAAGAAAAAATGTTATCACTGAAAAAAAAAATCTTTCTCTCAATAATTAATTAAAAAATCTCAAACAGAGAAAAAAAATCTCGAACATCTGTTTCTCAACAGAGACCACTTTGGCTTGTTTATTTACAGCATGGACCAAAGGTTCAAGAATAATAAATTGTTAGTTTGAAAATGCATTTTAAGCAAAAGTTTCAACGTATTAGTAAACTTATAGTAACGCTATAATATAAAAAAGAAGGAACATAATTTTTGATAGCCTTCACGGTCCAAATTTTAGTGCTCCTGGATCATTGGTTGAAAATAACCATATTAATATTAAAGTAAAAAAAAAATCATAATTTTTTCTAACCATAATTTTCCTAATTATCTTCTATTGCTAGGCTTAAAAATATGCTTACCTTGCTTCGGTATCCTTATCCAAGGCTGATATACTAATAACCGCTGAACCAACTGATGCAGTTTCGACGACCGATCCAACATATAATGTTTTTTCGAAGTACGGCTCATTATCGTTCACATCCATCACTCGAATTGTTACATTTCCTGTCCCTTAAATGAGGGAAAATGTCTTTGTCAACTCAATCAAAAAATTGAACTTACAGTAAGCAGATCATTCTATAATTAACTAATGAGATGTATTCGATGACGAAAATGCAACGATAAGTTTGTGCGATATATTGATTGAAAGATTAAAAGTGATGAGATAATAAGATAACGAATAACTGCTTCAAATGCTTTTCTAACAAATCGAGTTGAAATTATCTATAAATTTACCTTCAAGTGATGGTGTCCCTTTATCAATAGCCCGAACTTCGATAACAAATTGTTTTTCTGACGGCAATTCACGATCCAGTTTTCGCTTGATTTGAAAAGTATTCATTCACACAGTTAATTTTTTAAATTTGTCACGAAAAATGAGTAAACTATCTTCAGTAGTTATTAGCGAGAGGAAGAAAGGATGGGAATTACCATGGCATAAATTTTTCCATTACTTGGAACAATCCGGAAAACAGGTTCACCATCAATTTCTTTATTTACCACAATGCTGTACTCGAGTCGGGCATTATCCGTGCGTGGATCATCATAATCTGTGGCTGTAACTGTCATCACGAACACTCCTTCATCTGCAAATTTTATGGTGTTGAATTTTGAATTTTCTTTGGACTGAAAACTTCCAATTTAAAACTATAAATTTTGTTTTCTGGTGCGACATACGTAATTGATTTTGTGATTCAACCCACCTTTTATAATCCTTAAAGATTTAGTCTAGCACAATCTAAACTTAGATTCTTTCATTTTTTTTTCCATCTTGAAAGACTATCATTTAATTAAAAGTCTATGTAATTCATCCTAACCACG